CTCGAACTCCAAATGATCCTCCTGCGTCAGCCTCCCGAGTGCTGGGATTACAGGCGTGCACCACCATGCCCGGCTGTTTTATTTTCATATCTGTTAGGAAACTATAACTAGCACAGACATTACTAGATGTTTTTTCTCATTAACAGCTGTTTGCAGAGCTGGGTGTCGTGGTGCACACTTAAAATACCAGAACTTCAGTAAGCTGAGGCAGAGAGATGGAGAGTTTGAGGCGGGATGCCCAAGGCTACACAGGAAGTTTGAAGTCCACCTGTAACACAGTGAGACCTTGTCTTAAACAAAGATTGTTTTAGCACTGCTGTGAGGAGTGGCAGACTTTCCACATTTGTTTACTTCAGATTTCTCTGAAAACCACTTAAAATGATGATGAAGAGTTCTTCTGGAGAGACATGTTACAGGAACCAGGGACAGAAATGACTGCAGTGAAACATCTTACTCCCTTATATTTTGGTGAACAGAAGTTGTTCATTAGCTGCATTTTTCTGTTCTGTCTTAACAAATCTCTTCTAATCCAAGGTTGAAAGGATACTCTTCTACCTGTCTGATATGTTTGATAGTTTCTCTTAAGTTTTTAAATTCTCGGGCTGGGGATTTAGCTCAGCGGCACAGCACTGCCTGGCAAGGGCAAGGTCGTGAGTTCAATTCCCGGTACCGGAAAAAAAACAAAAAAAAGTTTTTAAATTCTCTTGAAATTTATCTTAGAGATGCATCACGGGACAAATTTTATTCTTTTCCATTCAGAAAAATGTACTAATAACTAAAAATGTACTAATAATATAAACATTTACAAATACACCTGTGCTTGATCTTTCTATTCCTCTATCATTAATTTATTTGTCTTTTTGCCTATTTCACACTTTTTAAAAGTTTGTACGGTGGTAGTGTTTGAACCCAGGATCTCCACACTGACAAACTGAGTAACATCTCCACCCCTTTTTATTTTTTGAGACAATCTTACTAAGCTGTTATATTGCCCACATGGGGCTCAAACTTGTGATCCTCCTACCTCAGCCTCCCAGAATCTTGGGATCTGTATTACACTTTTATTTTTTTTTAAGTTTTAAACTTTTGGTTTTTTGAGACGGTCTTGCTATGTAGTTCAATCTGGCCTGAACTCACCAAGTAGCCCAGCCTGGCCTCAAACTTGCAGTGATCCTTCTGCATCAGCCTTGCTAATGCTGAGATTACAGGTGTGCACCTCCATGCCCACCAGCGATATCACACTTCTAAATATCAGAGTTGTATTTATTTTATTTATTTATTTATTTATTTTTTTTTTTTTCCGGTACCTGGAATTGAACTCACGACCTCGCGTTTTCCAGGCAGGCACTGTGCCGCTGAGCTAAACCCCCGGCCCCTATCACAGTTGTATTTAGTACAGCAAATCTTCCCACTTTTTCGTTCTTCCCTAACTTTTCCAGTATATAAGAATAATAGTGATTTTTTTCCACTCAACTTTTTTAGAGTTTCACCATAAATATAAAAGGAGCCAAAATCACCAGCTACCTGAGGAAAGCCTGTAAGGTGAGTGATAGAGACTCAAACAGAAGAAGCAATTTAGAAGAAACAGACTGCAGAGAAATGAAAACTTAGCACCTACACAAATCTTTATGGTCCTTAGAAATAGGAGATAGCATATCCTTAACACTAGAGCAGGATACTATGAAAAAGAACAAAATAAGAACTTTTGGTAGCTAACAAATGTGAACAGAAATGGAAAAGCATAGATTTTTGAAGACAAACTTGAGGAAATCTCCAAACAAAGTAGGTGATGAAAAAGAAGAAAGGGTTGAGGAAGAACAAAAACAACCACAAAAGAATATAGGAAACAGGTATAAATCATCAGTGAAATAAATGAAAACATCCCAGAATGGACCGATGTTACTTTCTAACCTGAAATGACCCACATGCTGGATACAAGGATGAAAACAGATCAATCCCCACACATCCTGGGAAAGCTCACAACCCTTGGGACAAAGCAGAAGTCTAAAAGTCTGAGACAGACCAGTCCGAGAGGATCAGGAATCAGAACCAAACAGCAACAAGAATTAGTAAGATAATGGCGCCGCTTGTCCTGCCGGCCAGCTGCACACCCAACTGCTTGGGTGTCAAATTAAATATCAACGAACAAGGGACTACCTACAATGGCATACCCCCCATTTGTATTAAAAACAAAGGGAATTCTGTCACTTAGGACAACATGGATGGGGCCCCAGAGGACATTATGGCCAGTGAAATGAATCATAGAAGAACATGCTGCATGAGCTCATTTATGTGGAATCTCAAAATTGAACTCCAAGGAGAATGGTGATATCCAGGGCCCAAAGGTGAGGGCATTGGGGAAAAGTTGGTCAAAGGATACAAAAGCCCAGCTAGATAGGAGAAATAAATTCTAGAGATGTGCTGTACAACACAGTGACTATAGTTAATAAGTGTTTCGGTCTTTACACAGTGCTGGCAGAAGCCAGGCATGGTGGCGCACGCCTGTAATTCCAGCACTAGGATCACCATGCACGCCAGGCCAGCCTGAACTAAACAGCAAGACCCTGTCTCAGAAAACAAAACAAAAATTGCTGGGCGAGCTTGGGAAGGCTAAGGCAGGAGGATCACACATTGCAATCCAGCCCGAGGCTACATCCGCTTTCAAAACAAAAAAATAAAAAGAGCTAAGGATAAAGCTCAGCACTCTTGGAATTCAGTCTCCACTACAAAAAAGAAAAGGTTTTTATTTTTCATCTGTCTGACGCTTTTTTGTTTTTGTTTTTGCTAAGAATATAGATTTTAAGTGTTATCACACACACACACACACACACACACAAAGTATATGAGGTAATGTATTGTTAATTAGCTTGACTTAGCCATTCCACAATGTATATATGTCAAAAATATGTTGTACATGATAAATATATACTTCTTGTCAAATATGAATGTTTAAGAGCTGGGTACAGTAGCATACATCTGCAGTCCCAGGTTGCTGGAGGCTGAGGCAGGAGCATCATGTGAGCCCAGGATTTTAAGGCCAACCTGACCAACATAACAAGATCCCATCTCAAAAAGAAAAAAAAGAAGAAAGCAAAGGAAAAAAACATGACAATGGAGCAATGCTTTCAAAATACTGAAGGTGCTGTGTGTGGTGGTGCATGCCTGTAATGAGAACACTGGGGAGGCTGAGGCAGGAGGATTGCTTCAAGTCCAAGGCCAGCCTGGGCTACACAGCCTGGACTACATAGTGAGACCCTGCCTCAAAAACACAAAAAAGCATACAAATTTGACATTGGTTGTGGTTGTGATGGTACACACCTGTGTTTGCAGCATTCTGAGAGGCAGAAGCAGAAAGATTGCAAATTCAAGACCAGCCTGAGTAATTTTAGCAACTTAGTCAGAACTTGTCTCAATATAAAAAACAAAAAAGGGCAGACATTACCCCACTGTAAAGTGCCTGGGTTCAATTGCCAGTACCAACAACAACAAAAGAACAGCAACAAAAAAACCTCTGTGGAGGCCCAGACTTTTATTTTAGCAGACAAGGATTTCAAAGCAGATTTAATAAATACGTTAATGACATACAGAAAAACATTGTACAATGGTAAAATAAATAGGTAGAGAAATGGAATCTGTAAAAAAGAAACAAGTAGAGTCAGGCACTCTGACACATACCTTAATCCAAGCTACTGGGAAGGCTGAGGCAGGAGAATTGCAAGTTTGAGATCAGCCTCAGGAATTTAGTGTGACTCTGTCTTAGAATTTTATGTTTTTGGCCACTGTGAGTCTCTTTACTCACTCAGTCTCACTCTGCACAGTGTACTTCTTACCCACCTTCAATAAATGTTTACCTCCACAACCTTTTCCACGTGTCTTGTCCAATACACCAAGGAGCTGGAAAGACTTCCCCTGGGACCCACCATCTGGTACTATTTTCTTGGTGAGCCATCCTGGAGGCCCTAGCAAGTGCCATGGGAAACACCTGGCAGATGTCAGAAACCTCATCATTAGGCTGGATCCTTCAAAATTAGAACCAATTTGACCCTGACAATCTGAAGAAAAAAAACCACTTTATCTTCTATTGCAATACCGTTTGGGTCCAGTATGAACTAGGAAATGGCAAACGATGGAGACAGGATTCCAG